ATAGGCTTCCAATATATCAATCTTTATGTCTCGACCATTTCGAGACTCCTCGTCATGTCCGTGATCACATCCGGGACTCCGAACAAACTTCAGTACATCAAAACTTATAAACTCATAATAAAACTGTCATCGTAACGTTAAGCGTGCGGACCCTACGGGTTCGAGAACTATGTAGACATGACCTAGAACTATTCTCGGTCAATAACCAATAGCGGGACCTGGATGCCCATATTGGTTCCTACATATTCTACGAAGATCTTTATCGATCAAACCGCATAACAACATGCGTTGTTCCCTTTGTCATCGGTATGTTACTTGCCCGAGATTTGATCGTCGGTATCCAATACCTAGTTCAATCTCGTTACCGGCAAGTCTCTTTACTCGTTCCGTAGTGCATCATCCCGTAACCAACTCATTTGGTTACATTGCTTGCAAGGCTTATAATGATGTGCATTACCGAGAGGGCCCAGAGATACCTCTCCGACAATCGGAGTGACAAAACCTAATCTCGAAATACGCCAACTCAACATGTACCTTCGGAGACACCTGTAGTACTCCTTTATAATCACCCAGTTACGTTGTGACGTTTGGTAGTACCCAAAGTGTTCCTCCGGTAAACGGGAGTTGCATAATTCTCATAGTTACAGGAACATGTATAAGTCATGAAGAAAGCAATAGCAATATACTAAACGATCAAGTGCTGGGCTAACGGAATGGGTCATGTCAATCACATCATTCTCCTAATGATGTGATCCCACTAATCAAATGACAACACATGTCTATGGTTAGGAAACATAACCATCTTTGATTGATGAGCTATTCAAGTAGAGACATACTAGTGACTATATGTTTGTCTATGTATTCACACATGTATCATGTTTCCGGTTAATACAATTCTAGCATGAATAATAAAAATTTATCATGATATGAGGAAATAAATAATAACTTTATTATTGCCTCTAGGGCATATTTCCTTCATTTTACACTAGCATGCTTGTGGTTATGCATGTTTTCTCTCGATTCAACTATTGAATTTACATTGGTTTATTGGGTTTCTTTTGCTTGTAGGCAGGAAAGTTGGGTCGAAAAGGGTGAATCAAAATTGTGAACACATTACACATGAGATCTGATAATGTGCTATGCTGGTTCCTCAGGTGAGGTACAATTATCTATTTTCTATGTGTATATTTTTGCCTTGGTTAATACATGATTTACTTTTTTAGTTTACTAGTGCATGAACTTGATTCATTTCTAAACTGTATGATTCTTACATCTCCAAAAATCATGCTTCAAGTTTCTCGAACATAACCCTATCATTATGGAATAAAACTCCTATTTACCTCCCAAAAAAAGGTTTCTTGAACATTTTTAGAGAAATGACAACTTCCATTATCTGGCTTTTATAGGAAGCCAAAGAAAAAACAAAGTTCTTTCATAAACCTCGCTCACCCATACTAGAAAAACCCAATTACGACAGTAAGCTCGATCAAAAGAAAAACCCTGGGATTTCAAATCTACTATTCGCCGATGACAGCCTTCTCTTTTTCAAAGCTTCAGTTGAAGAGGCCGAGAGGGTGAAACAAGTCCTAATTGATTTCCAAAAGGGCTCGGGACAACTTCTCAGTTTCAGCAAGTGTTCTTTACTCTTCAGTGAGCTATGCCCAGTGGAGGTCCAACAAGATGTCAAAATGGTGCTTGATATCATGGCCTCCACCTTTGAAAGCAAGTATTTAGGACTCCCCACGCCAGAAGGACGAATGAAAGATTCCATGTTCCAACCTATCATGGAGAGATTCATCAAGAGATGCTCAGATTGGTCTGAAAGATTTATGTCTCATGCAGCGAAAGAGGTTCTAGTTAAGTCAGTCCTCCAAGCCCTCCCAACTTACTGCATGGGGGTCTTTGAAATGACCCATGGTTTCTGCGAGAGATACGAGAAACTGATACGGGACTTCTGGTGGGGCGATGAAAATGGCCACAAGAAGGTTCATTGGATGTCCTGGGAGCGCATGATAAAGCCAAAAGGAGGAGGTGGCATCAGTTTTAAAGATATGAAGCTCTTCAACCAAGCACTGCTCGCACGACAAGCCTGGAGGTTGATTCTAAGGCCGGATAGCTTGTGCGCAAGAGTTCTTAAATCCAAGTACTACCCGTGTGGTGAACTATTGGATACGGTGTTTGCAACGAATGCCTCTCCGGTTTGGCGGGGAATTGAACATGGGCTTGAGCTTCTCAAGGCGGGTCTTGTTTGGAGGATCGGTAATGGAAGGAAGGTCAGCATTCAACGGGATCAATGGATCCCGCAGGAGGAAGGACTGAAACCTGCACAATTCATTCGGCGCTCCAGATTAAGATGGGTTAATCAGTTGATGAATGCCGACGACAGCGGTTGGAACTCGGAGTTAATCCATCAACTGTTTTTTAGTTTTGATGCCGAAGCGATTTGCAATATCAAAATCCCAGTATCTGAGGCGGAGGACATGGTGGCGTGACACTATGAGAAATCGGGTACCTTCACTGTCTGGAGTGCGTACAGACTGGCGGCATCTCTCCAAATCCAGGAAAACAGGCCAGCTTCGAGTTCCACAAATTCAGGCGATGACCGTAGCATCTGGGATATCATTTGGAAAGCCAAGGTCCCTGAAAAAATTAAGATTTTTGGGTGGAGAATAGCTACAAATACCTTACCGACCAAATTGAACAAATGGAAACGTACTCTAGAAGTTGACAACACCTGCAATATTTGTGGCAACGGAGAGGAAGATGAATATCATGCGGTAATTTCCTGTACAAAAAGTAAGGCCTTAAGAAGCGAAATGCGGAAAGTCTAGGATCTACCTAGTGAGACACTCTTTAGGTTCTCAGGGGAGGACTGGCTTCAGATCCTCCTAGGAACCTGCAATACGGAGATGGGGACTAAAACTATTCTGGTGCTGTGGAGGTGTTGGTTCCTGCGAGGTGATTGCATCCATAGTACGGGAAAGGAGTTGATCAGTAGATCGGCACACTTTCTGCAGCAATATGAGGAGGAACTGATCAGCTACAACGGGAAGTTTTTTTTCAGGAACAAAGGATAAACATGGCAGGGAGCATACAGTTCTTGTTTCGGCTGAGCAAGAACGACCTGTCTCTGACGCTGGTGTGGAGAAGTTACAGGACAAGGAACCTGATTCAGGTGTTGCAAAGCAGTGGTACCCCCCAGACAGCGAAACTGTCAAACTGAATACTGATGCTTCTTTCTTTGCTGACAACGGGATTTCTCATGTGGGTGCAGTGGCTCGCGATCACGGGGGATTCGTTCTCTTCTCGCTGTCCAAAGAAATTGTTCGCTGCTCTTCTGTGGAGGAAGCCGAGGCTCGTGCTCTGCTCTATGGACTGCAGAAATTGGCGATGCTATACAGAGAACCTGTCATCGCTGAGACTGACTGTTCATTCCTGGTGAAGGAACTACAACCTGATTCAGATAATCGATCAGCCTGTTTCTCAGTGCTACACGACATCAAGAAGGAGCTGCAGAAATTCCAAGGATCTCAGGTCATATATGCTAACCGTAAACAGAACAATATGGCGCATTGCCTCGCGGCAGAGCTAGGAGAATGGGCGACATGCAATGGATGGCGACTGTCCCGGGTGACCTGAAAGCAGTGCTAGCAGCCGACTGTATGTTGGCTCAAGAGTAATGTAATTTTGCTCTTTTCCCTAAAAAAAAGAAAAAAAGAAGAAGAACAACACAAGTCGCACGCAAGAAAGCTGAAGAACAAAGACAAATGTTGTCTCTTTGTGGAATTTTTCTTAATATCACTTCTTATCCAGTAACCTGATAGCTCTATCAGCAGTTTCATTAAACTGAACATCTTCCAGATCACCAAGCAGGTTAGCATAGTATCGGCGGTGCGGCCGCACAGGCCCAACGTTATGGAGCTGCCGGGCTGCCAGTTTGCCACCTCAAGCCGCGACGTGCAGCTCCCGATGCTCTGGCATCGCCGCATGCGCGCCACCAGCCACCCCGCAGCTGACGTGCTGCCAGGCGAGAGGACGCCGCTCGCGCCCGGCAAGAAACCAAACTCCACCGCCGCCGCTCCGAGCAATCAGCGCCCATAAATCCACCACACCCAAGAGCCACACAAGCAAGACAGCCGCCGAAGAACTATATCCACACGACCAGACACCCGCACGCGACGCACGAGGCAGCCATTGGAGGAGCGGCACACTACACGATGCAGACGGCGAAGGTGAGGGCCAAGGACATGGTGAGCTCGGCCCAGGAGAAAGCGAAGGAGGGATCGGCCGAGGTGCAGGGCAAGGCGGGCAAAGCCGCGGCGACCACGCACGGCGAGAAGGAGATGGCCAAGGAGGAGGAGCGCGCGCACAAGGCCCAGGCCGACGCGCAGAAGCACCAGGAGAAGGCCGAGCACCGCGCCAAAGCGGCCGCGGGATGCCACGGCACGGCTGGGACGCACGGCCACCACGGCCCCGTCGGCACCCCTGTGGCCCCTGACCCCGCGTACCCGGCCAGCGGCTGGCACCCGGCGGCGGAGAAGTACATCTAGAGATGGCCACGGGAGCAGGATGCCCGTCAGTCAGGATGGCCATGGGAGCAATGTTTTAAATAGTGGGCTACGCCAAATAGCGGCGGACCTCATAATCAGCTATAGCGGGCTATAACGGGTTGTTTATACCTGAGACCCTTATGTACTCTGAGACCATTTAAGGCCTTGTACAATGGGAGGTGCTTATGAGAGGTGTTTAGAGAAATAAACCAGGATTTTCTTAAGCACCGGTGCTTATTTGTACCGGATAGACGCTTAACTAAGCGTCTCTCCTCTAGAAATAAGCACCGGTGCTTCAGAAAAATCCGGTTTATTTTTCTAAGCATCTCTCTAAGCACCTTTTATTGTGCCTAACGCTACCCTGCTGAAAAGGTATGAGACTCATAAGTACTCCCTCCTTTTTTTTACTCCGCATATAAAATTTGGTCAAAGTCAAATTACATAAAGTTTGACCAAACTTATATAAAAAAAATATAAACATCTACAATACTAAAACTATATAGTATGATAATATGTTTCATAGAGGATCTGACAATATTGATTTCATATTATAAATGTTTATATTTTTTAATATAAAATTAGTCAAACTTTATAAAGATTGACTTTGACCAAACCTTATATGCGGACTAAAAAAAAATAGAGGGAGTAGTTGGTTCACGAGCGTATCATGTTGTAAACGGTGCCTTCGATGTTCTAGTTTGAGTGTTGTATGAAGTTCGATTTCGTATGTTGACGGTAGCTCTTCCTTAGGGCATCTCCACCACACCCTGAAAAACACTATGCGGACCTTAATTGTCTGCGAACGTGTTCTTGTGTTCGTTATTTTGTAAATCGGACAGACATCAGGGGAGATTTGGAGTTCTTGTGTTTGTTTTCCCGCAAATTGGCCACTAGACGTCCGGACGGTCATCACCGAACTCTAAAACCTTGTCCTAATTCTTGTGTTCATTTTTCCGCAAATCGAACCCACAAATTAGGACAGCTTTGTTAGCATTTGGACAGTCGTCTCGCATGTTTCCCCGCAAATCAAACGCTCAAATTAGGGAAGACCAGACAAATTAGGAAAGGTTTGCGGCAGATCGTCGTCTTGTACGCACCTCGCTGTCACGCTCGTCACGCCAAACTCTAAAATCTGTTTCCGCCAAAACCCTCTTCCATGTTTTCATCACGTACGCGCCTGGCCGTCACATCCGCCACGCCAAACTTTAAAACCCTCTTCCATGTTTCCATCATGCCCTCTTCCATGTTTTTGTTATGCCCGCCACGCCAAACTCTAAAACCATCTTCCATGTAAAATAGTTGCCGCTAAGACCCTCTTCTATGTTTTTGTCATATGCCCGCCACGCCAAACTCTAAAACCATCTTCCATGTGAAACAGTTGCCGCTAAAACCCTATTCTATGTTTTTGTCATATGCCCGCCACGCCAAACTCTAAAACCCTCTTTCATGCGAAACAGTTGTCGCCACATTATTTCATGCCGGTAGGCCGCTCCAGCGGGGCGCATTGCACGGTTCAATGCCAGCACGGTGGTCGAGAAGCCTACTCCCGACGGGTGTGTTGCACGGTTCAATGGCAGCACGGTGGCCGAGAAGCCTACTCCCGACGGGTGTGTTGTATTGAAGCCAACTGCCCGCCCGCCCGCCCGTTCACCTTGCCGCGACTACTTATGCATGGCCCCGACACCGTGCATATCACATATCTTTTCTTCTCTGCTCACCACCGCTCTGTTCACTGCTATCGACCTTCTTATCTTTTAAATGACAATGCCGGAGTCTTGGTTCTCCGTGCGGATCTTCTTCCGGATCCATATCGTGGCGCCGACAGTGCCCTGCTCCTTCTGGAAGGAAGAGGTCATCCTTTACTCCAACGATGAGGAGGAGTAGGAGCCGCAGCACACATGCCTCCTCGTCGAGGCAGGAACAACCGACAAGTACTAGGCGCACCTGGAGCTCCTCCTTGAGAGGTCGCTCAAGGACCGTGTTTCGGTGCCGCCCTCGCCGCCTCTCCACCGCGTCAAGGGGGAACTGGTGTCGTCGTCTCTCACGCGCGTCAAGGTGGAGCCTCCCTTCCCCCGGCGCAACGGTGATGTCCAAATCGGATGTGGCATAAAGGAGTAGCCGGTGTCGCCGCCGCATAGCCAGTACGCCCGCATTGCTAAGCCGAATATGACAGCCAATATCCCCGCCAACGATGACATGGACTCTGCCGGAGGTGGATCTCCTGACTACTAGACATGTTGCTCCACCTACCCCTTTGTTGGTCACGATATCAACCTTCCACCTCCTAGGTCAGCACCTCATACACTTTGTCGTTGATGACTTACACACAGATGTGGAAGATACTATGCCGCCACTGGAGTCCTCGACTCCGGGGCCTACAGGCACCACAGTGCCTGGCAACGAAGAAACACGGGATGAAGACAATACCACTCGGTGTCCGTCGCCCTCCTACCTTCGTCGCGCCGGCCAGAAAAATTTAGGTGCCTACCTAGTCTGACCCACTCAGAGATTTGCCGATGAAGTAAAAGTACCCTCCTTCATTGTTTATATTTCAATTGGTTTGATTAAATGCAATGTGATTGTGAAAGAATAGTGGCAATTGTGCAATGTTTGTTTTAGTGACGAGTCAGTGCATTTGGGAGGATCGACAATCAGTGGTGAATCATTACTAAATAGTATGATGAGTGATTCTGTGGTGATCAATGATTTCGATCTTGATGGTGCATTAGTAGAAAACTTTGAACAATTGGATACAAAGGGCAAAGATACAGATTTTATCCAGTCCAACCCTCTAAATCATCATGGAATAAAGCAATTTGACCGCAAACTACACCACAGAAGAGGACGGTGCTCTTATGAGGGGTTCAAGAGATCACTCTTGATGTTGTCATCGAGAAATATCAAGCGAGTCCAAATAATTGGAGGTGCGTCAAGGAGCATTTCCATCAACACCTTGAGCATAAATCAAAACCCACCCTAAAATCTCTTACAAACCGATGAATGTGATTCAAGAGATGTGCAACTGTTGGGCGGGTTGCTTGGAGACCAAGTGAGGCACGCTCCTCCTAGAAGTGCCACCATTGACCAATATGTGAGCACTCTTGTTATTTTCTATTACCACATTTACATCACATTGAGCATTTTGAGCATTCTATGTTGTAGGGTAATATAGCCCAAGAGAGGTATCGACAAATGGCCAAGTCGAAGGGCAAATTGTTTGGCCTCCAACATTGTTTGAAGGTGTTGGAAGGCAACAAAAAATAGAAATCAAGGAATAACGAGGCTCCTACAAAAACATGGGAAGTCAAGGCACACAATTCCTCTCTAAAATTGGATGGCTACGAGGAAGATTAAGGTGATGGGGAGGAAAGAGTTCCTAGAAGTCCCACTTCGATGTCTACCATGAGTCGGCCCGACAGGAGGAAGTGAGTAAAGGAGATGCTCAAGAGATAAGGTGAAGTGGAGCCGATGAAAAGAAAGATCAATGAGTTGATGAGGTCAATAAATGAGTACGCAAAGAAGAATAAGTAAGAAAATGTGGAGATGGAGGAGCAGCTACAATAGAGGAGGGCGATGTGAGATGTCATGTAGGAAAGCACAAGGCAGAAGGAAGATATGAAGGCGTGCTTAAAATTGAGGAGGAATTGTTGATGCAAGCTTGAATATCCGAGGAGAACTGATTTATCATGTTGGATCTGAATACCATGGATCCAATGGAAACATCATTCTAGGAGTTCAAGCGAGCGGATATCATGTGTTCTAGGATGGGATGGAAGGACGGTGCACACATGGGAGGAGGGCAAGGTGCACATACTGGAGGAGGGAACGGTGAGGAGGTCAAGGTGCGCATACCAGAGGAGAGGAGGTTGCACACGCCGGAGGATGGACAGCGCACAGCCCGAAGAAGGGGAGGGTGCACGCGCCCCTACATCAACATGTGATTTGTCCATAGAAGTATGCTTCAGTACCCTTATCCCCTTTAAATTTTTAAAAAAGGTAAATGTGTACTATATTAGTGTAAAAAACGCTTTTATATTATAGGACGGAGGGAGCACACAACATACTAATTAGTGTTTGTATAGTGTTTAAAATGACATGTGTTGTCATGTCCAATCCAAATCCAAACCAGGGCCTGATCCAGTCCTAGGTCGTTTGATGTACAAACTTGTACGTGGATACGTAGGACTATCCCTTAGAAGGAGAGAATGTGTCCTGCAACAGTTGCCCACTCATCCCGCTAGACAGGCATCGAGCGGCCGGGAGTTGTGTCGTGGAGGAAAGGCAGGGCCGCTCTGCCGCGAGGGCAACGGGGAGGAGCAACTCGCCACTCATCTCGCTAGACCGGCCTCTAGCGTCGCGCTTACGTGATGGCACCAGGGAGGGGAGGAGTGTTTTCATGAACTACGGAAGAGCCAGCCCTATGGAGGAGACGAAGTTCCGATGTCGTGTTGGAGGAGGAGCCAACGGAGCTCGCCCATCGTTGCCACAATGCCACCGATCGCCTCCGTCTAGTTCATGCAAGGAGAATGAGTTTGTCTATCTTCCTTCCTCTATCTCATCTCATTTTGCTCGGCGGCGACTTCCGCATCTTGTAGCACTTCTCTCGGAATGTCCCACACAACTCCAGCGAGGCTACTCGTTGCTAATCTCCACATCCTTTAACGATATCGTGAGACACACCCTCAATTTACTTGTCCCCATAAACCGACATGGATGTGACGCTACGCCATCGTAGCGGGTGCACTCCACGCATGACCTCGCCACCTGAGTAGAAATTGAACCTAGTCTAAGAGGCCATGAACTAACCTCGACATACTTTAAAGAGGGACATTTTATTTAGCGCTCGGTATGCGCATGCTTTGGGCCAACCCATATGCGGGGCGGAGCGCCCCAGTTTTTTTGTTTCTTATCTTTTTTTTTTGCTTTTTAATTAAGAAATGTTCATGAATCCCAAATTCAAAACAATGTTCGGGATTTCAAAAAATTATAAACTTTTGAAA